AACGGAGCGAGACTGAGCGAAGGTGCAGGCCAGATAATTGGAAACGCATTAGAAGATTTAGCATTTGCAATGCAAACCACGCAGGGCTGGCCAACGGCGGTTGTCCTGCTTTTCATCCAAAGCAACCAATTCCCCGTCTAGTTCAAGGCGAGAGTTGCGTTTGGGGGAAGGAGTGTTGGATTTACACCAATTTCTTTTCCTTCCCTACTCTGGAGTAAGAGGGTGGGTCTCAGTAGGGGGCTCTTGGCTGTTGAACCCACAGGAACATCAGGCACCACCTTCTGAACATTCCTCAGAACATTCCTTCTGAGGAATGATCAAGGGAGTTGGGCATGTTTAGCCAGCAGGAGTTGAATTCTGGTGCTGGAGAAGACTCTTGAGAGTCCCATGGACTGCAAGAAGATCAAACCTCTCCATTCTGAAGAAATCAGCCCTGAGTGCTCACTGGAAGGACAGATCCTGAAGCTGAGACTCCAATACTTTGGCCACCTCATGAGAAGAGAAGACTCCCTGGAAAAGACCCTGATATTGGGAAAGATGGAGGGCACACGGAGAAGGGGGCGACAGAGGACAAGATGGTTGGACAGTGTTCTCAAAGCTACCAGCATGAGTTTGACCAAACTGCGGGAGGCAGTGGAGGGCAGAGGTGCCTGGCGTGCTCTGGCCCAGGGGTTCACGAAGAGGCGGACACGACTAAACGACTAAACAACAGCAAAGCCTGCAGGAGGGGAGACTGAAAGTTCGTATGACACCGATCTTCAAATACCCCAAAGGCCATCTAGTTCAATCTCCTGCAATGCAGAAATCTCAGCTAGCCATCCAACCTCTGCTGAAAAACCTCCAAGGAAGGAGAGTCTGCCTCCTTTTGACCAAGTCTGTTCTGCTGTGCTTACCACCAGGAAGTTATTCCTGATGTTTAACTGGTGAATAGTTAATCCCTCAAATGCTCCGGAGGTTCAACTCACCACCGATGGATTCAAGTTACGAGAAAGAAGATTCCAACTAAACCTTAGGAAGAACTTTGTGGTGGTGAGAGCCATTCAGTTGTGGAACGGACTCCCTCAGAAGTCCTTCCATGGGGGCTTTCAAGCAAAGTTTGGGTGGCCCTCTGTCACTGATGCTTTAGCTGAGATCTCTGCATTGCAGAGGGTTGATGACCCTTGTGGACCTCTTTCAATTCCACAATTCTATTATTCTATTTTGTATTTGCATTTCCTTTGAATGTCCGGTTGTTCTTAAATGTCGCTAGCTTTCTGGAGCCCCCGGGGACCCTCGGTGGTTGCTTGCAAAATGTCCTTGCGGTGCTTTGGGACAACTGTCCTCGACGATGGTTGTCATCCTGCCCCTCCAGCGCTCAAAGCCATGCTGAGGATCAGGCTCACGCCGCCGGCCAATTACCATTCTTTTATGCTTTAACAAAGATTAGATGATAAATCTGAAAGCGGGCGAGAGGACGAGGATCCTCTTGCGTTTTCTTGCTCATCCTTTTATCTCCGAACGGAGGAAGCTTACTGAACCTTCGCCAGCAATTCACTCAGGCTAATGAAGTGCGTAAGTAATGAGATTAAATAATCTCAAAACCATTATTGGGCTGCCTGAGGCAGATGCACCTCAAAACTATGGCAGATTCGGGGCGAGACGGGAGGGAGGGGCTCCCTTTCCCTTTGAAAGATTTCTCCGCTCTCGCGAGCACATGATTTTGACCCTGGACCAGGCCTCCTCCAAGACAGAGTCCTCTGGAAGCTGTAGCTCTGAGGAGAAGGATGCCCTGGTCCATCTCATGTGGGTCATGAGAACTGCCTCCCCTTCCTTGTGCCTGAAGGAGGCTCTTGTGATGGCTGGTCCACAGTCACCTTGGGGAGAGATGCCTCACAGTTGGAAACTCCATTAGTCCCAAAGGAGCCAACAGCTACAGAAGAAGACCTTTCAACTGGCCAGGAAGTAGCACTCCAGGGATGGAGACCACCCAGCCCGGGAGATGCAATGGAGGTTTTTTTGAGAGGTATGAAGCTCAAGGAAAGGCTGCGACTGAAGTGAACTGCTGGTAGGGAGTGGTAATAGGGCCCATCCTCAGCCTTGCAGCAGCATAAAACAACAAAAGGTAGTTAAACTATGGAACTCACTGCCACAGGAGGCAGCGATGGCTTCAAAAGACGATTAGACAACTTCATGGAGGAGAGGGCTATTGATGGCTACTAACCATGAAGGCTATGATATGCCTTCACAGTCAGAGGCAGAAATGCTTCTGAAATCCCGTTGCTGGAAACCAGAGGAAGGGAGAGTGTTGCTCTTGTGCTCAAAACCTGCTTTCTGGTTTCCCTTAGCGGCATCTGTCTGGCCACTGTGGGAACAGGAGGCTGGACTAGGTGGGCCGTTGGCCTGATCCAGCAGGCTATTTGTATGCTGTTATGGGAGAGGAGGAGGAGAACTAGAAGCAGAGGAGGAGGAGAACCAGAAGAAGACTCAGAACCTTGCTGAGACAACATAGATGTTTGGTCTCAGCTGCAGGTGAACTATCTATGGTCCTGAATCTGATCTCCCTCCAAGTTGCTCATCTGGGGAAGCAGGATATACTGACCTCCCCTTCCTTGGATTTGTAAGGCCAGTGACCTAATTCCTAACGTAGGGGTGATGCGGGCACAAAACTTCATTGCTACCCCCCCCCCCAATTGCAGTGGTTCGTGTGTAGCTACAATGTCCCCCTGGCTGATCCCAGGCTCTTCCAAAAGGTCCTAGGCAGGATCTGGGGTGCAAAGGTCCTTCCCCTGGAATAGGACTCCAAAGATGCTAGATCCTGTCTGTCTCAGCTAGAGGGAGGTGCTATCCTGTGAATGACAGGGCTGGCCTCCAAACAACACAGGGGAACAGCTTTGTTAAGATGCTTGGAACCAAGTCAACCAACTTGGACAACCAACTTGTCCAATCTGATAGGTGGCTTCAGATGTCTTTCTCAGACGTCTGCCAACCCAAGATCCTTTGAACTGGGATTGAACTTGGGGACTGACAGGGATTTGAGATAAGTTTTGGGATTGTCCCAAATTTTATGAACATCCACTGGCCAAGTGGGGCAGGGGCTCAATGACCCACAGGACTCCTTGCTTAGTTTGCTCTCCTTTCTGACCTCTCTGGGACATCAGGCAGAGGTCTTTTCCACCTCTACTACCGGAGATGGGAAGAGTTGAATGTGAGACCTTCTGTATGCCAAGCATATACTCTGCCACATTCCTACATAGTCTTTCTCTTTGGGATTGAAGTTGCACAATGTCCTTCCTCCCCACCTTGGCAAATGAAATGAAAGTAAAATAAAGACAGCTTCCCCAGGAACCTTCCTCCCAAAGAAACTGTCCTTCCTTTCCAGTAAGAAACATAAATGCCACGAGGCTGACCATAAACGTTTAGTTTTACGTTGCTGTAAATTTTTATCTAATGCTGAAGGGTAAGAGAAGCAGAGGCTACGGGACTTGACTTTGACACTGCTTCGTGGTCTCCCCTTCCTGACCACCGTATAAAGTGGGTTTCTTGAGTCTTCTGCTGTGCAAAGGGCAGGGTTGGCTTACCTACCCAAAACATATGCTAAAGAGGAATCCATCAAAGGGTCCCCTTTTGCTCCAGAAAGGTGTAAGTCCATGACTTCATAGAACCATAGAATTGTAGAAATGGAAGAGACCTCTGGCCAGTCGCTCACTCTCCGGCTAACTGACCTCGCAGGGTTGCCGTGAGGACAAAATGTGGGGTTTAGGAGCACTAGGTGCACTGCCTTGAGCTCCTTATCGAGAAAAAGGTTGGCTAGAAATGCAATAAATAGGCGTTCATCATCTGGGTCAAAGGAGATACTTTATCCAAGTAGCTTAGCTGGATGCAAAGCGGCGCACGCTCTGGGGATTCCCAGAAATGAATTCCTCATGTGATGGCCTGGGATTCGGACTCGGAGGCTGAACCTGAGGAATCCCAGCCTGCACAGGAGTCCCCACCTCCAGAACCAGCTGAGCCGGGGCTGGGGCCTGAGCCTGAAGGGTCCTCACCTGTGCTGGATCCTCAGGTGCAGGCACCAGCTGAGTCTGCTCTGGCCCCTGAGGTGATGGAGGACCCATTGCCTGCAGGTGCTCCAGTCTCAGCCCCACCAGAGGAAGCTGAGGTTGCCTCTGGGTCCGGTCACCCTCCAGCCTCTCCTGAGCTGCAGAGGCTCAGGGCAGAGAGGTGGAGGGAACTAAGTTCCCGCAGGAGGAGGGCTTGCCTCCAGGCCAGGAGAGGCGAGTCACCAGAGGATCAGGGCCGCCCTATGCCTCCGGGCAGATAAAAGCCAGCCAGCCCAGTCCCAGGAGCAACGTTGTTGGTAACCTATTCCAGCCTGCACCCTGTCATGCTCTTCTGCCAGAGTTCCTGACCACACCTGACTCCTTGCCTTGGACCCAGCTACAGCTTTGACGGACAGCCTCCATACTGCACCATCGACCTTGGACTGGCCTCGGACCTCGCCTCTGTTAGCCCCCAGGACCAGCACACCTCAGAAGATTCCTCACACCTGAGTCCTCCAGACAGCCAATGAGCGTCAACATCGACAGGTATGACCTCCGGCGCCCTGTGCCACCCCTTGCATCTTGGTGCACCCCAAAGATAATCCTATTGTACCCCAGGGGCAGGTACATCTCACATGGAGACCCCTGGTGTAAGTGGGGACTCGAGAATCAGAGAGACACAGAACATACAAATGATCTTCCTGAATCTGAAGAGACACCTGTCAGTGGAGTGGAGTGGTTAGAGCGCTGGACTACGACCTTGGAGAGGCTGGGGTTTGAATCCCCACTTGGCCATGAAGCTCAATGGGGTGTGGCTTTGGCTACCGCTCACTGCCTCTCAGCCAAGCCTACCTCTCAGGGTTGTTGTGAGGACTGAATGAGGAGGGGGAGAGCCATGAGCTCCTTCAAGGAAAAGGCGGGATAGAAACACAATGAATGAACACCCAGCTCCGCCAGAAGCAGAGAGCGGTCGGAGGCACTTACGATGTAGCAGGGCTCGCAGTAGGCTTTCTTCTCCACCGCGTAGAAGGGCTGGCCCCGCAGTTTGTTGCTGCAGGTCATGCAGGTGAAGCACTCCACGTGGAAGACCTGGTCCATCGCGGTGCAGCCAGTTCCTTCTCCCACGACGTTCTCCCCGCAGCGGGCACAGCGACCTGGAGGGCAGAGAGGGGCCTGGAGTTAGGGACCACTCATGGTGCTTGGCCGCGAAGGAGACCCCCATGGGAACGTAAGGGGGCATCAACTGGATTTGCATGGACAGGCGGAGTTCCCCAAACCCTGGGCAGCCCCCTAGTGGAATAATGACTCAAGACAACATGCTAAGGGATTAAAATTGGCCACAACTTTATTACGTTTCAGATGTGGGTAGACCTTGGCTCAGGCACTGGGCGTTTATCCCTCCCAGTCCCCTGCCAGGGATCTGGAGAACATCAGGGTTATCCAGTGTGTTTTTGGGGGGGTGGACTGGCTCTGGAGAACATATGTTCAAGCAGAGAGAGCTCGCCCCCATTACGCCACCGTTGCAGGGGAGAGCAATGACAACCTCTAGGCGTACGGCCAAAGCCTCCCCTCAATACAACCCCTTTAATGGGGAGCTCTGGTATCGCTGCCACAAAGAGGAAGGGGGCATGGGTCACTGCTACACGCCCCCCCACATTCAGGGAAGATAGACTAAAGGATTCTGCCCAAGGCCTGAAACCACCAAAGTTGTGACGTTTTGCTATGGGAAAGGCAAACCTGCCAATGCAGGGGAAATCCTTTCTGGCCCTTCAACAGTGACCTTGACGTAGCAGTGCCTGCGTACCTGTGGAGAAAAGGTTAACCTGCAAAAGAAGTCTTAACTGAGGGTGGGAGAAGCTCTGGAGCCAACTGACGATTCCCAGGTAAGATCCTCCCTCTATTGTGTGGGCAGGTAGTCCCTCCCCCTACCTGGCCTGATCACCTTGGCAACGCTTCCCCATGCGGGATTGGGCAACTGGCTGAGGTAGGCAGAGACCTCCAGGTAGCCCACCTGGGGGGAGGCGAAGCCAAGCCTGTGTTGATGGAGCCGCTCTAGATCCTGGGGCTGCGCACAAAGGGCGCCTCCCACTTAATGTGGGGAGTGGTTATTAGCTGGAAGAAGAGGAGGCAGGGCGGAAGCTTACGAAACTAGACCCGGCACGGAGGAAGCAGATCGGGAAAAGTTTTCCTCCCTCTCGGCTAATACTAGAACTTGCGGACAAGCAATGAAGCTGAATATGGGAAGATTCAGGACAGAGAAATGGAAGGACTTCTTCATGCATTGCGACTTGCAGTTATTTTTGCTGATTACAGTTTAGGCAAACCTAGACAGCATCTTAAAAAGCAGAGACATCACCTTGCCAACAAAGGTCCGTATAGTTAAAGCTCTGGTTTTCCCAGTAGTGATGTATGGAAGTGAGAGGTGGACCATCAAGAAGGCTATTTTCCGAAGAATTGATGCTTTTGAATTCTGGTGCTGGATGAGACTCTTGAGAGTCCCATGGACTGCGAACCTCTCCATTCTGAAGGAAATCAGCCCTGAGTGCTCACTGGAAGGACAGATCCTGAAGCTGAGGCTCCAAGACTTTGGCCACCTCATGAGAAGAGAAGACTCCCTGGAAAAGACCCTGATGTTGGGAAAGATGGAGGGCACAAGGAGAAGGGGACGACAGAGGACGAGATGGTGGGACAGTGTTCTTGAAGCTTCCAGCATGAGTTTGACCAAACTGCGGGAGGCAGTGGAAGACAGGAGTGCCTGGCGTGCTCTGGTCCAGGGGGTCACGAAGAGGCGGACACGACTAAATTACTAAACAACAACAACAACAGTTTAGTAAAAACTGAGAAGTGTAAACTGTTCAATTATTATTTGCTAATATTTAGTTTTACTGTTTGCCTTTTTGTATCGGAACAGATTGTTTATTATGTGTGTGAACTTTGCTGTCTACTTTGCTGTTTCTTCAGCTTGTAGATGGCCTTGTGAATAGTAATATAGAAAGGCGGTATGCAAATTAAAAGTGAAATGAAATGCAGGGCATAGTTAAACTGTGGAACTCGCTCCCACGGGAGGCCCTGACTGAAAAAATGACCCACAATTTAAGAGGAACAAAGCAGAGAGACACCTTTGCACAAGGAGGGCGGAGCTTCATTTCATTCACAAATTCTACAACAAACTAAAGACCCAAAGGTTTATACTAAGCTGTGGACATATTTTACAGATGCCCAGTGTTATAGGTTGCGACATATGCACAGGTTTTCACAATGCATTTTGGAGGAATGTTTGAGGAAATTTAAAGAATAACAATTTTAAAAATGTTTTTTAAAAAATAAAATAAAATAAATGTTGGAAGTGTCCTGCTGGTTCAACCCAAGGGGTTGCTTGGTTAAGTCTTCTGCTTCCAAGCAGAGGCCAACCAGGAGATTCTGAGCATCTCAAAGAACAGCAACTTCTGCATGAAAAGGATGCTATCTCAGTTAGTTTGTTACATTGCTAATGGTGGTTTATATGTGGATTATTTTTACTGTGCATTTGCATTTCTTTTCTATTTTAAACTTTAATGCATCCTAGAACTCCCCACCCCCGTTCATTAGTCTGCTTTAAATGTGGATCTTCTATTGTGTTTTGCATATCATTTCCGTTGGTAATGCTTTATTTGTAGATTTTGTAAACTTCTATTTCATGTTTGGGATGTGGGTGGCACTGTGGGTTAAACCACAGAGCCTAGGACTTGCCGATCAGAAGGTCAGTGGTTCGAATCCCCGCAACAGGGTGAGCTCCTGTTGCTCGGTCCCTGCTCCTGCCAACCTAGCAGTTCGAAAGCACGTCAAAGTGCAAGTAGATAAATAGGTAAACGGGAAGGTAAACGGCGTTTCTGTGCGCTGCTCTGGTTCGCCAGAAGCGGCTCAGTCATGCTGGCTACATGACCCGGAAGCTGTATGCCGGCTCCCTCGGCCAATAAAGTGAGATGAGCGCCACAACCCCAGAGTCGTTCACGACCAGACCTAATGGTCAGGGGTCCCTTTACCTTTACTTAAGGCGCTGCAACTCTTCCAACAGTTTGACTTCACCCCCAAAGGTGCAATGCTCCAACCCATCCGCTTGAAGTCCAGGAAGGGTTAACCACCACTAGGGGGAGTCCTGCTGATGCACATCAACTAGGAACTCCCCCGGGGTCACCGATAGGGGGCGTGCCTCACCTCCATAGGCTTCGGACAGGGCCACACCCCCTTGGATCCTTTACCGGACTACCCTTCAATATGCGGGGCAGGTGATGGCGCTACCTCTCCTCTTCCATCTACAGAACTATACCAATGCCTAACCACCAATACCCAGAAAGTTGTGATGATTTGCTATGAGGTAGGCGAAAACCAAGTGGCTGGTTTGAATTTGCCAAGTGGAAAAATTCCTACCAGGCCCCTCAATGGCGACCAACCAAGGTCCATAGCAAGGTCAAGGAACAAAAACCTTATAGGGTGGGAGGGTGGGAAACAGGAACAGCCGGCAGGCGGCAAAGAGGGAGATCCCCAGCCGCATCCTGGTTTAAATTGGGCAGGCCACACCCACAGAGCCAGCCGATTGGCTGGCCAGGGTGTGATGTGGATGGGAATCCCCCCAATCATGCGGGGCGGGGCTCTAGCGGCCGCGCATGGTGGGGCCGTGAAGCCTGCAACTCCACCTCCTCTGTAGGGCGGAAGTGGCTTTCTCTTGCATTTTGTCCTGGACGCTCTCTCCACCTTCAGCACACCAGAGGAGTGTGACTGGTTCGCTTGCGCTGGGTGCAAAGTCTTGGCAGCGCCACAGGGAACCGCAACGATACTTTAGAACAGAGTTCAAGGGGGGTGGGGAAGCAGATGTTGGGACGCCGCTGAAATTTGGGACCCCGAGGTCTGCCTCTGAACACCCACCCTCCACCCAAACACCTCAGGTCTCTGCATCACCCACGCACCTTTCCAGGCTGCAAGCCGCCCACCCAGTCCGCCCTCCCCATTTCACCTTGGAGGGTTGGAGGCTGAGTTCAGAAGCAGGGCAGCCCCGCGTCGCTTGGCTCCTGAGTCCTGCCTGTGCTTCACTTTGATGGAAATGAGAGGCGACTCTCATGGACATTGGGGGATGCAGTCCGAGCCAATACAAATTAGAGGAGGAAATTGCATTAGCCCACCGACTTGTCAGCATTGGGGAGGGGGTGCTCTGCTTTGCTTTGGGAGCTGACAGTGAGCTACCAGGCAAGGAGGTGGGTGGTTGCAAGCCTGGAGCATCAACCAAGCGGTCAGGGTGTCGAAAGGCTGCTTAAGACCCTCAAGGGCCAGTTGCAGATATTTTGCTGCCTGACGGGAAGGACAGACGGTTGTCATGCAGCCCCGACAAGCCACATTCAGAACCCTAGCAGGGTTGCAGTCAGATATTACTTCAAGGCTGGTGTGAAGAACACAAGGATATAAGAAGAGCCTGCTGGATCAGCCAGTGACCTATCTGGTGCAGGATTCTGGTCCCACGGTGGCCAACCAGCGGGAAACCTGCGAGCAGGATCCGAGCGCAAGAACAACCCTCTCCTCTCCTGTGGTTTCCATCAACTGTGGATTGGGAGCCACAAGTGGAGCAAACTTCTTTGGTGTCTGCTGAGATGCTGGGGGGGGGGGTCCTGAAAGAATGAGTCTTGCTGGGGTTCTTGGGGGGCAGCCATGACCAGGTGAAAGAGAAACGCAAGAGCATTGGCTTATTAATTCCGTACCTTTTATAACACCTTTCCAGGAGGTCTTAAAACAAAGTGGTGAAAAGGACCACCACAACCAGAGCAGGACCTTTTCAACACTGGCTCCGGTCTGGTGGAACGCTCTGCCTTATGAGACCAGGGCCCTGCAGGATTTTATTTCTTTCTGCAGGGCCTGTAAGACAAAGTTGTTCCACCTGGCCTTTGGCTTGGAATCCACTTGATCCCCTCCCCATCTTTCCTTTCTTCTTCTGTGATGGAGCTCCTACTTGGGAACTTCCCTGGCTTTTTTCTGGCCCACGTAGGACCAGTCTGGATAGTTGGCCTTGGTGAAGATTTGACGTTTTCATCGACCAAAAGTTTTTGATTTGAGTTTCTATTGAAATGAGGCTGCAATTTAATGTATTTTAATCTTGTTTTTAAGTTGTATCTTAATCAATTGTTTTATA